CCCCTAACTCCCCCCCCCCCCAATAAATCCGCCCATGATACTTACGGTATGTTCATCTGGTGACGGAGCCACGCATGAAAAGCATTGGGGGCACAAAAAAAGTAAATAGCGCAGGAAATAGCCTCTTCTATTATCCAGTAGCCGCCTTCGACTTTTCCATCAGTGTATTCGGAGTCAAACAGCTCTTTTTAGAAAAGTAAGTCTAAACTGTTTTAACTTGCAATCCTTGATATTTTTTCTACCTTCGGTGTTGTTATTTTTTTGTACCTTATTAGTTGGTTAACAATGGATTCATTGAAAAGATATGTTTAAAAGAAAAATGCTTGGAATATTAAAAAGTGAAATTATGGGGCCTGAATTGAAAGCAAGAAAACATGAGTTGAATTTGCGGAAAGTGTACGTGGGAAAAGAAACAGGTGCTTAGGAAGGACTACAAAGAAGTTGATGTAAATAATGTTTAGATAAATATGAAGAAAATAATCATGGAGCAGTTCGAGGGATGGAAGACTAAAAATAGCAATTAAAGAAGAAAAATATACCGGAGTTGTCTTTGACTTCTCTTCCAGTTGTTCAAATGTTGAGTAGCTTAATTCTAGATTAGTGAAAAAAATAACATTATTTAGAGCAATTACTTGTACAATTTAAGGTTGCCGTGTGAAAGTATGTTTTGTGAAGTTAAAGAGATGAAAGTAAAACTAGCAATATACATTTATGCAACAACCCCATGCTTCGCATATCGCTGATCATGTACATAACATTATACATTTCCAATACGTGGTGTTAATCGCATGAGATAAAATACAACAAGAAAATAAAATAGGAAATCGTATTTAGAATAGGGTGCTATGCTAGCTCAAAATAGCACTTAATTAGCAGGTAGCAATCGAAATGAACCATCATGCAGTTACCTTAACTTGAAAAACTGAAGTTGTAGTATTTCTCAGCATGTTTAAACAAAAAAGCACATTTTCAAAGTGTTTTATACATTTTTAAACAACACAGATACCAAAAATCAGATAGCTCGCATAGGCCTTCTGTCGCAAAAGAAATGCGTGCCGCGCATGCAAGGAATCTGAGCTCTAGCGCAATGAAGAAAAATTACGCGCACGCGGCATTTCACGCGTCATCAATCCCGTCAGCAAACAGATTGAACGGTTTCAAACGAGAAATGTGAAAAAATATTAAAAGTACTTTAAATGAGCAATCGAAGAAACCGAGTTCAAGGTTATTACACAAAATTGAAAATGCAAAAGCTCAAACTTTTCCTATGTTTTCTTGCAGGTAAGAATGACTTACTCAAATTTAACTACTGTACATGTACCATCTCTCTGCGCAACCTGACGAACCTTTTACGCATATTTTCTAGGGATGTTCTGTATGACAAACACCATGTTACCACTCAACAAGACAGAATGTTTGGAATGGCATAATATATATCGAGCAATTCACCAGGTAAACTAAAATAATGCAAATATGGATTTTTGGAGCATATTATAGTGTGCGTTTTTAACGCGTATTTAAATTACGGAAAAATGTAAAAGTTCCAAAACTTCTAACAGTCAACTAATTTTAATTGAATTTCTGTTTTCAAGTGTAGATCTTAAAAAAAATCCATGAAAAACTACTTGAAAAAACACATTACCAAAGTAATATAACTTTTTATGATATATGCGTTAATAATGCGTGAACAACGCGTCGTGGATATATAAATGTACAAAAATAATCTTCTGTCAGCAAGTCAAAGATAAAACACCAAAGCATTTTGGTTTTAAGTAACAGTTCGCCTTGATTTTAGATAAATATATGACAATATGACGTGTAAAGTAACAAAAGGCAGAACGCCCGAAAAGCGCCTTTCGGGTGCACCTTCTGCAATGCAGGCTGAAGAGATATTTAGCACTAGTTTAGCGTCTCTTAGAAAAAAATAGCTATATTCTTAGCCGCCCGAGACAATTGCGCGGCTGTTTTCGCAGGCTACTATAATGTAGTACCCCGAGCCAAATAGGAATTTATTCACCAAGACAGAAAATTACAAGGCTATTTCTATCTCCGAAGGGATCCAGTTTGAACTGGTCTGACACTCTAGCCGACCATGCACAGGTGTGGGCCGATGACCTGGCAAACAGAGATGCATTTGAGCATGACAGCAGCAGAGGTCTTGAAGGAGAGAATCTTTATAAGAGCAGCCATGACAGCGAAACTGCGTGTAAAAGTGGAACTTATGCATTTTATAAAGAGGAGAAGTTCTACGATTATGACAACCCTGGATTTTCACTGGCTGTTGGACATTTTACCCAGGTACTTTGAAAATTGTCTGCAGAATAGTAGACTATTTCATTGCAACCGTAAAGTAGGAGCAAAAAGTCTGTGTAGCAGGTTGAATACATGCAGAACTGTTAGAATTTATATATTTTAAATGTGAGGTAGTATTCAATAGCAAGTTACCTTCGTCATGGATGGCAAGATGTCACTAATGTTACTAGAATGGGTCGGTTGTATAAAACTCTTAAGACATAACTACTATTTAACTATGATAGTTAAACAGTAGTTAACTCTGAAATATACAATTCTGATTGGTTAATTTTTCCACTAATTATATAGTTAACTTTAACTACTTTTTTATACAACCAGTCCCTGAGCATTTTATATCTATATAATGAAGGCCTATACCATATATATATAAGCATACATTGGTGATTTTTAAAGCCTGCCGCACAAAGACACCATAGCTGAGCTAACCACCAGCTGTCTTTGTCCCACAGATGCACAAGGTAAAATTTTCAGCAAAAACCATGTGGACACAAGAGAATAATTTCCATACAATATGGAGCTGAGCAAACAGCCTTGAGAGAGGTCAAGAGCTCTCATATGCAGCAAAGCTGCATGCTACGAATCAAGCCTAGAAAATATATTTCTCTTCCTGGCAGCAAAATCCAAAAATTTCAGAGAACATATGGTGCTGTGCACTGTCATCAACTTCAACCTTGGCACGACAATCACAACTTGCAAAATGCTTTTGGGATTTTAAAACAATAAGTAAACTATATGGCATTCCAGTATATAAGATGACAAAAATAGGTGTAAGAAAATTTCCTGCCAAGGTATTTTATTAAAATTTCCTGGCAGCGGCGCTGCTACCGGACATTTTACAGCACTGCTACGAATGTTTCTTATAAACCTTTTTCTTTACATAGGTAGTGTGGTTAGACACAAAAGAACTTGGCGTGGCTAAAGCAAACACTTCCAGTGGAGCTGTTATATTGGTATATCGATACGCACCATCTGGAAACTATCTGGGAGAGTTTGCTGAGAATGTTAAACCACCTCTTGGAGATGCTTTTACATATACTGCCTCATTATTAGTCTGTTTAGTGCTTGGTATTAGCTCCATGATTTTGGGACTCACTATACTTTAATTTAATTAAATAAACATGAAATCTTAATCTAAATGAGGAAACAAGTTTAGTCATCATTTTGTTAAAATGAATATTTTAGTGGTATACTGTAGGAATAAATTGTCTGAGCTTTCTAAATTCTGCCCGATAATCTAAAGGCGATGCCTGCAGAGGAGGCTATGAGCTTTCATTGTCTACGACATCCACATCAGAGACTAAGAGCCTATTTACTATTTAGCATTTCATTTGTTCAATTGGATATCATATTAATCTGCAATACACCAGAAAATTTAGTAGTTTGAAACATAGAGAAAAGTAAAATTTACAATGAATAACAAGTGTCAAGAAAATATTATTTCAATTTTAAAAATCAAAGTCCAATGGTCACTGATATTTCAGTCCAGCCAATCAGAATCCATTAAGTTAAATCATGACCAATCTGAATCAACTACTCAGATCAGGGTACCACTGCTGAGGTCAACAAGCCATGCCATGAATTTCCATGGACAATATTAGAACATAATACAGTTTGTACACAAGCTATATTCAATAATTTCCTACCCTCAAATATTGATATAATAATTTCCTAGATAAATATTCATATTAAAAAAACACTACTGTACTTTGAATTACCAGATTTTTAATAATTACTTTTTAAAAAGTTTTGGCGGAAAGATATAAAGGGCAAACATAAAATAAAAGAACAAAAAGTCCACAAGGATGTAAGTTCTAACAAAATTGTTATGTTGCCACAGTGAAAACGTCACACCATTAGCAAATTTACCTACAGTACCAAACCATGCAAAACATCAATTTGACTTCTTTTTTTCTTTCTGTGTTGGTGTAATGCACTCAGGTGAATATGATGCTTGTGATGTTACTTTGAGTGTATATCCACACCGGGCAAGCTTGAAAAATATGCCTGACCACGGTGGGAATCGAACCTACGACCTTTGGAATACTAGCCCAATGTTAGGTATGTTATTATACGTGATATAAGCTTCAATTTCATGTAAAATTCAAGGACAAAGGCTTCGCAAAATGTTTTAAAGTGTTCTTTATAAAACTAAACTGCCTTTAATAATTAAATGGCTTTTAATATCGATAAACTTTGAGTTTGCAATATAATGATTTCAAATTCTCGCATTCAAATATAAACTTTGCTTTCTTTTTTATTTAAAAAATTCAATATAATAAAAAAGGGAATCAATATTAAAGATAGACTGAAATTATATGCTGTCTTGTTTTATATTTTTTCATATACGCAAAGGCCGTCGGGTTTTATTAAAGCAATTATAAAATCAATATTTAAAACAAACTTTAATACCTCTGTTAATGTCGGCTCCCTTCTTTTAGCCGATTCTTTCTGAGAAAGCTTTTGAAATTTACAAAATCTTGCAAAAATGCGAGCAAAAATAAAATATATTTGCAAGAAATTTATCAATCATCAAATCAAAAAATGTTTGCTATTTCGCTGTCGTCGTGCAGTTGTTATAAATATGCAAACTTTAAATTGGACCAATCATTGTCCGCTATTCATGACAGTCCGCCATATTTTTGAGATCAGTGAGGATGACCACCCATGCACAGTGACCAACGCCCGCGATCATTGATGAACTTTAGACTTCGCTAATGCTTTCGTTTCCCCGGGTGTAAATAGCCAGGGGGAATTAGTACGGTCCTCACACAGCGCGAAGGGGCATTATTAAATTTTGCAGGCTCAGAAGTATTGAAACAATCGATATTCCTTGCCAGTATCGATACTTTTCTTCAAAACCCTGGTATCAATAGTATTGAGTATTTGGTATCGATATCAGCCCATCCCTATTTATAACAGGGTTGCTGAATAAATAAGCCAAACATCGTTATAAACGGCCCTTTGATGTGTAATTACTGTGTAATTTTTCTGCTACAAACTTACTGTAGATCTCATTTAACACAAGTAGGCATTTGTTGATGTATATAGAGTAACAATGCTCACAGGTAACAATTTTTCCCTTGGTATATGTACTACAGTAGTCATAATTTCGACTCATTTGATCGTGAAATATATAATTTCTAAATTTACTACAGGAATTCAGACCTAAACATTACCTTAACAACATTATCCAAGATAACCAAAGGCCCATTTACTCCAGATACAGATCTGTACGGCTAAGAGGAAGACACATAAAAAAAATTACAATCAATTAAACTTCTAAATCACTGCTCTCCTTAGTCAAAGATTTTTACCAAAACGAGACCTAAAACCCATTAAAAAACGACGCTAATGCTTAGTCACATACTTATTCTTGGTTGTGAAATGTAATCTCGGGTTATGGCAGCAGTATGTTCTTTAGCAACCGCGTTTGAAGTTTGTTGATCCACATCCAGTGTCCACATCACTGACCATCTTGTTTTCCAGTAGACTTGCTCCAAGTCTCTCTTTGTGGACATCTATATATTGTACATCTATATTGTACGTTACATGACGTACCGCTGAGGGGGAGAGGAGGAAAGAGAAGAGAGACTTGTAACATCTAGCCTGCATGGCAGGCGGTATTTCTACGGGCAGCGAAAATAAAAT